AAATGTTTACACAAGAACTTGCCATTAAACATTGGTTTGGGTAGGGCTGATCCTGCCTCAGGCAGGGGGTTGGACTAGATGAGCTCTGGAGGTCCTTTCCAGCCTGACTTCTCCATGATTCTACGATTATTTATGATTTATCTAATTTCTCCGAGTTAGGGACAGGAAGATTCCCTCTCCCTTCAGGGCACCCGGGAAACAGCCAAATGGGACCGTACTGAATGGAACGCAGGATGGAGACTCGGCAGGTATATTCAGCAGAGCACCAAGGCTGCAAGGTGAATTCAGTGCGCTTGAAAGCGAGGTCAGCCTCCAGAACCCCAGCTGCCATTGGCTCAGGCAGTTGGAGATAAACTTTCTGGAGCAGCAGTTGTGATCAGTGCAGAGCCCTTAGGCTCTCAGATATCATAGGAGCCTTTGTCAGTATTAGGCATGGACAGATCAATACACTTTATTACCAGCTTCATAAAGCACCCTGCTCTGTAGCTCCACCTCCATAAACACTATGCTCATTACACTTGTAAAGTACTGTTTAACCTACTATATACATACATTTAGCCCAGTATGTAAAAATATAGGCATATATAGTGATAGTTGGTAAATCATACCATGCTACAGGAATCTGTTTGCAGTATGGTATATCTAAACTGTGCTGAATATTTCTGATCAAAATTATTTTTATTCCAGAGGTAAGATCTACTACAGTGAGTTCTGATTTGTGGAGCTGTTTGCATTCCAGTATGTTTGGGGAAGTGATAAGCCACGTGAAGTTTTCTGTACTATTGATTGCACTGTCCGAGCAATGTAATTGCTGACTCATGACAAAAAATGCAGCTGGTTTTCTGCAGCTGAAATGCATTCTCTAACACTGTAATAAATGCTGTCTATACCTCAAATCTGAATACACTGTGACAACATAAAATAATACTGTTTCTGGCACTACAAGAACCTGAGAGCTATAGTAAGATAGAAGTTTATTTTTCTGAAGATGCCACACACTGTCCTAAAGAAACTGAATTTTAGCAGTCCAGAATTATTGTCCTGGAGCAATAATCATGTGGTATTAACACTTTGCATCAGGAAAGTCAGAGTCACAGTGATAAAGGGTCTGGAAGGTTAGGCATTTCCCAGCTGTTTGAGTGAGGAGATCCCACGCCACATAACTTTCACTAGTCTCTCATAATTCTATAAAACACTTCAAAGAGCAGCAAATTCCTAGTTATGCCATCATCTTAGAAATGCTTGCCATATTCTCCTCCTGAGTACAAACATTAAACCCTTTCATGTTTGTCAGATTTATACTTGAAAGACCAGCTCATCCAACATGACTTGAACACAGTACCATGGAGTAGAGAGATGTAGTTACCGGTGGTAGCCTGAAGTCAGGAAGGTGGCAGGGCAGGGTAGCATTTGATGAAATAGGCTGTCACCTACAAAAGTGCATCTGGTCTCTGAACCAGTTAGTCTCTAAGATGCTGTGTGTCCTGCCTTCTACCTGACAGTATCACAAGTATTTAAAGTCAAAGGACATAGCTTTATTAACAATCAATTATTAAAAAAGCCTAACTCACTACAATTTCTGTGCCAGGTTATACCCATGTCAGACTACTGACATAAATGGTATTACCTACACGTAACTCAGGACACAGTGCAACCCACTGGGTGCATTTACATGAGATGCTTTACTGTGGAGATCATTAATTAGCTCTGCAGTAAAGCATCATCATCTACATGTGTGGTGCTATTAGACTGCAGTAAACTAATTAACTCTGTTGTAGGATAGTACTGCCCAACACAAGTATTATCCTGCGATGGAGTAGATACATGCAGAAAAATGCATGTGTAGATGGTGACAGGGCTGGCTGGGGTATGAGGGTGCTACCGTGTGGGGGCTGCCTGCTGGCTAGCCCCCACACAGTAGGACACTCATGCTTCAGCCATCCCCTCCACAGCACACTGGGCCAGGGGGAAAACAGCTCCTGGGGCTGCACTGCCCCAGCTCAACATACTGCAGTCCTGCATGCACATGTAAACTGTGCCAGAATTTACTGTATTGCATTAATATCATGTGGAGACACACCCACTGTGTCCAAGTTCATGTGTGTCATGTACCAAGGGACTACATAGACAAGAGAAAAAACTGAAGGGTGTAAGTTAACACAGCTTGCCTAAATTTCACATCCTTATACTTTCTTATAATCCCTTACCAGCTTACATGAATTTAGATTCTGAAACTGAGGAGCCCTGACAAGTCTATGGAATCAGCACTCCTCTGACAGGCTAGCTGTATTCTTTCTTGCTGATGAAAGGCTAGATTCATCAGCAAGGAAGGTAGTAGACAAGGGTTTCAGGAAGACCCAGAATCCTTAAAATGGAAATCAAGCAGCACACTGGGCTTCACTGACACTATTTCATCTACTAAACGATATATAAAACTTACACCATCTCTCTTTTGATGATGGCCACAGCTCCAGCAATGCAGTAACCATGTTGGACCTGACAATAAACCAGCTGAAATGATCCAAAACCATAATCAAGGTAGATACAGCAACCTTTAGTTATCTTGTCATTTTTATAATATAATATAATATAATATAATATAATATAATAT